AATTTGTTCTGCAGCCTTCTTTTCTTCTTCAACCTTTTTCTTGTCTTTACCACCAGTGCTAACAGCAGCATCTTCTTTCACGATAAGCTCTTCAATTATGGTGTCAATTTCATTCACCTCCACATCAATGCCGGATGCTTTGATTTCATTTGTCATTTTTTTCTGGTATTTCCCACGCAACAGAGTCCAGCGGTCTCTACATGACCTCTTGAGGACCTTAAATTTTAGGTATTCAATAGCATTGAGGTTTGCAGCGATGGAGTCCCAAACTTGACCCCTTTCTGGTGTCCCCTTCTATACTGGAACACCTCACTAACAGACATTTCATCTAGGAGGGCTCTGTCATCTTGTGGGGTCCCCTCCATAATCAATCTAGGCAAACAAACATGGAGCAACAGAGGAGACAAATAAGTCAGAGGTGGAGAAAAGATCTGCCTGCCTCATTCCTATCTTTCTAGTTACAGAAAAAATGAAACTCTGGCAAACAAGCGTTCAAAAGGTTCCAAAAATTTTCTAAAAAAAATTAACGTGCAGGCTAAATTGCTAGTTTCAGGGTGTAAAGAAAATGACCCTGTGAGGGAGCACTGTTCAAAAAGAAAAAGGCTTAAAAAAATTGAATTCGAAGTGTCCGCTGGTGATGAGAGGCTTTTACTGAGCAAACTTGGCCAGACAGGATTTGGCGAGACACTTAGGAATTAATTCAGTTTCCAAGGATATTGCTTTTGGGAGCTTTTCAACCAGTCTACCAGAAACAAGTGCTAAAGAACTAAAATGCTTTTTAATTTGTTACCTCTTTGACAAAGAAATTCTAAGTTTGGTATTGAAATAATTCCCGGGAAATACTTGCATGCAATAACAACTTACTTAAGTTAAATCCCAAGAAAGCTACTGGCCATGATGGCCTTTCTCCAAAGATCCTGAAACTATCTACCGCAGCCCTGGCTACACCTCTGACAAATCTGTTTAACTATTGTATTCGCACAAGTACTCTTCCAAGTGATTGGAAAATGAGCAATGTCACCCCTATCCATAAAAAGGATGAAGTAACTGACAAAAATAACTATCGACCAGTCAGTGTACTCCCGGCAATTTCCAAACTTTTTGAAAAAGTAATGTTTGATCAGCTGTATGTCTCTTTCGCACCTATACTCTCACCGAACATGTCAGGTTTCCTCAAGGGACACTTATGCGCTACAGCGCTGATCAAGCTGACGGATGATTGGAGAAGCGCCCTTGACGAAAAGAAGGAGATAGGTGTGATTGCCATCGATCTGTCTAAGGCTTTTGACTGTATATGCCACAATCTATTGCTTGCAAAATTAAAGGCTTACGGTGTTCAGGAACCAGCTCTTCAACTCTTAAGATCATATCTGCATGGCCGCAAGCAAAGGGTGATATACAATAACAAGTGCTCTAGCTGGTCAACGGTACGATGTGGCGTTCCACAGGGAAGTCTCCTTAGTCCTCTACTATTTAACATCTTTATGAACGACATAAACGAAACTGTCACCGTTTCTTCCCTCCGCCTCTATGCAGACGATACAACTCAATATACTGCGGATTATGGCCCAGTTGTTCTTCAACACTTTTTAAACCATGACATGGAAAAACTATCTTCCTGGTTTGCCTCTAACTATCTACAGGTTAATGAGGACGAGACCCAGGCGATGATCCTTGGGAACTCATCCTATCGATACGACCTGGAGTTTGCCGGCACTCCCATTGATATTAACAACCATTTAAAGATCCTAGGAATATGTTTAGATAACAAATTATCTTTTAAGGAACATATAAGTATAGTGCTGAAGAAATTATATTCCGAGATAGGCGCACTTCGCCGCCTTAAGCGTTTAGTACCGGCAAATACTATGTTGCTTCTTTACAAGAGCTTTGTGTTATCACATTTTGAATACTGCAACTCTTTACTTTTGGGTTTAGGTAAAACACTTAACAAGAAACTGGAAGATGCGAACTATTATGGTCTACGAACTATAATGAACATGGGGAAAAGTACCGATTATGAATCAATTCTTAGGATGGCAGATATGAATACCTTGGAACATAGACGCATAGAACAATCCGTCATGATATTTTTTAAATGTTTCAAGGAGAATGGTTCAGGCTATGTAGCCAATTTATTCCAACCCCGAGTTACACCATATAATCTTAGAAGCAATGGTCTGAATGTTGTGCAAACTTCATATAATAGTAGATTCCTTCATGGTTCACACGCGTACACGATCTCGCACATCTGGAACCAGTTGCCATCTGCTGTAAAAAACGCACCTAATGCATCATCCTTTCGCAGACTTTTAACTAAGTTAAATTTTATCGGCTGTCAATGCAGCAATTGCCTTTGACCCGATTTATTTTTATAGATAGATGTTACTTTTTTTTTAATTTAATTAGTGGCTATTGAGATATTAATTAATTAATTTTTCTTTTATATTGTCAAACACTTTTATCATGAGCCCGTGGCTCGGGGGATTGGGAGACCACCCCCTGTGTATCTGACATTAAAGAAATTATCTTATCTTATCTTAACTCTATTTCAGTATTCCCGTGTTATTATTAAGCTTACGTCTACATTTGCGTACTATTCTAAATAATTTTCAGTGTTTCATTATTTTATACGATACACAAAGTAACGAAAACAGTGAGCTAAGAACACGCAATAAAAATATCGGTTTTCATATTTTTTTGACTACTATTATTTGGTTCGTAGGACAATTTTGTCCATGTAAAGTTCACTTACGGTTTTCTGTTTGCCATGTTGGATAGATTCTCTTTGCCTCTGTGACATGAAACATTATAAAAGATGTAAGTTTAGATAACAGTCCTTGGAAATCGAGCTTGAAATGTGCCTCAAAGAAAACAAGGACAATTTAAGAACGATAAACTACAAAATTGTGGTTGCTAAACGCAACAAAATTGATTGAAATGAAAGTTAAATACTCACGTTTTCGCCACAACGCCAAACAGACCAGTTTCAGGTTGGCCGACGGGACCACGACGGCAAGGTGGTCAGCAAGAGCATGCGCAGTATCGCCTGTCCTCTACGGAGTACTAAGGACAAATTTTTTGTTATCGATACAAAGAATCAGACCTTTATGACCTTCATTGCATTTATTATGTAAAATGATTTTGTTATAGCCGGCTGTGACAAAATGCGATTTTAAGACGCTATATACATGTAGCACGAAAGTGATACCAGACCTAATTGATCTCAACTACAAGAATTTACATAATCACATGTTGACATTTTACCATGCAACTGTATTGTGCCAAATTTGAGCGAAATGATGATCGCTTTTGTAACGTTTGATTGACATACGCGAATCACGAAAGCACTGCAGAAGTGTTTTAAGTAAACAAGTCCGATTTACCATAGTAAATTTGTCTACCTTTTTTTAACCATAGTCAAGGCTTTTAACTACACTAAACTCTCAAGTGTGACCTCAGCCATTATATATCTTCGGTCATCAGTATGTACAATTAGTTACCCTGAACAAAAAACTGACTTGTTTCCTAGGGGAACGGTTTTTCTTTTGGCTGCATTAGAACCTCTTAATTATTTTAAGAGGCAGTCTCAGGGCGCTTTCCATTTGTCAGAACTCACTGGTCAGACCATTCCCGTCGTTATGAGAATTTCACTTTTAATCAAAACTATCCAGGGAGATCAGTCAAATCCTAATTAGTATGCACGAAGGAGATGGTTTTTCAGCAAAAACCCTTTTGAAAAAGCCGATTTTATTTGCTAGCTGACTGGTCCGGCAATGGTCCGGCCGGCCAGTTCTGACGAATGGAAATCGCCCTCAGTAAAAATCGTCCACTCAATTTCGCGTGAAAAATAATTTTTCCTGAAACTCTGGCAAGTGAAAGGCTTTTTCGAGACTAGAACTAAGATAGGTTTGCTTTAATTCACAATAATTTTCTTGCCGTGCTAGGGGGCGCTAAGTGTTTTGTCCCTCCAGGGCCAGTTTGCACCTCATGAAAATAGAAAATTAGGCATTTTTTGCGGGGCTGTAAAATGTTCGATTTGCACCATCTGCCAATGAATTTTATATCTATTTGTAGATAAACACCTCTAGTTTTACATAATAGTAATAGTTATTTGCTAAATTTAAAGCTGTGAAAGGTTTGAACCCAGGAGTTATCTCAAAAGTAGGTTAAGTTTGATCGTCCGGGTGAACGTAGTCCTGAATAGGACTGTTGTTGTTGACAGTGACTGACGTTTCGACGACCTGTGCGGTAGTCATCTTCAGAGTCAAAGGGAGTTGTGTCACGTCAGTTGATGGTATTATACTCTGGTTATTGATCTGATTAGTCAATTACGTCGCGATGTTATTGGTCGTCTGTCAGTTAAGCCGTGATGTTATTGGCTATGAAGACTCGTAATCGGTAATTGGCGCGTTTCGATCCATCTATTGTCACAGTTTAACAGTCGTCTATTGTTAGTCAAATTGTCAGTTCCCTAGTCGTTCTCTGGTAGTTAGTTTTGCTTGATCTCGTCAATAAGTCGTTTGTACGGCGCTGGTAACTTTTGGCTACGATTCAGTGGCGTTTGTTCTAAGTTAGTAAACCAGCTTTCTAAAGTAAGACGTTGATAGTAGGCTGTAGAATACGTTATACATGTCGCAGAGTCCCATTCAATTTGATGTTTCCTTTGTAAATGGTGCTCAGCAATGTGATTGTGACAATGTGACAGGGTCAGAGTTGGTCTGAGTGTTGGAATCATTGTTACTGATAGCCTACAAGACGAGACTGGTTATCTTAACAACGTTTTTAATAAGAACAATTACAACACGGACTTTGTTAGACGGAACACTCACAGTAACAATGATTCCAACACTCAGACCAACTCTGGCCCCGTTACGACAGCGACTATACCGTACATCAGAGGCACCTCTGAAACTATTGCACGTATATTACAACCTTACAATGTACGTGTTGCACACAAACCGATAACCACTTTACGGCAACTGCTTACTAATGTCAAGGACAAAGACAAACCGGAGGACAGACAGGGAGCAGTATGCAAGATCAAATGCTGCGACTGCCAGGCTTCTTACATTGGTGAAACAGGCAGAAACCTAAGCACGCGACTGACCGAACATAAACGAGCGACGAGGAATGGTGAAGTCAACAATCACATTGCTGAGCACCATTTACAAAGGAAACATCAAATTAAATGGGACTCTGCGACATGTATAACGTATTCTACAGACTACTATCAACGTCTTACTTTAGAAAGCTGGTTTACTAACTTAGAACAAACCCCACTGAATCGTAGCCAAAAGTTACCAGCGCCGTACAAACGACTTATTGACGAGATCAAGCAAAACTAACTACCAGAGAACGGCTAGGGAACTGACAATTTGACTAACAATAGACGACTGTTAAACTGTGACAATAGATGGATCGAAACGCACCAATTACTGATTACGAGTCTTCATAGTCAATAACATCACGGCTTAACTGACAGACGACCAATAACATCGCGACGTTATTGACCAATCAGATCAATAACCAGAGTATAATACCATCAACTGACGTGACACAACTCCCTTTGACTCTGAAGATGACTACCGCACAGGTCGTCGAAACGTCAGTCACTGTCAACAACAACAGTCCTATTTAGGACTACGTTCACCCGGACCATCAAACTGAACCTGCTTTAGCTAAATTAGCTGAAAAGACGAAATGAAGCAAAATATGACCCAAGTAATTGACCCTGGTTTAAAAGCTTATTTCTGACGTTTGGGACCTAGCTGAAAGCTCTAGACCAAACACACGAAAAGATAGATCATCTGTTATTAAGAATATGCAAAAACTCCTGACTCTCTTATTTTTTAAGTCAGTTGTGATCAGATTGCTGCATATTGTGTAACATAAGTATTTTCTATTATTTTTCTTTAGCGGTACCAAAGATATTTGCAAAGACATGGCCACAGGCTCATCCCTATCTACAGCAGATGAAGCGTTAAGTACGACGGAAGAAAAAGCAAATTTCATCCGGTTGTCACGGCTCTTGATGCGTGGAGGACTTACACTATTAAGGGAGGTGTTTGATAATATCCATCCACCAGTTAACCTTCCAGCTGTGCTTGGTAACCCCGCCATAAAGAAGAAGCTGCAGACTCTGAGGGGGAAAAAGGTCCTTTTCTTCCCCGAATGGGAACGTCTTTACAACTCATCCGGGCCAGGAGTGTACGGAAAGTCGGCCGATTTTGATATCAGCCTACTTTATAAATTGCTTCGGGAAATATGTAACTTTACCGCTCCTACTACTGGATGGCACAACATGCCTAACAACAGTGATTACAGCCTCCAAGCAGACATAGTGAGAATCAGGTGTTACCGAAACACAATTTATAGTCACTACCATCGCTTCGAGGTAACGGATGCTGACTTCGAGAAGTTTTGGATTGAAATAAGTGAGGCCCTATTGAGAATTGCTGGCCACATAAGCAGCGCAAGAAGAGATGAATGGAAGGAGTCTATCGAAAAGTTTCTCCATGATCCACTTACACCAGATGCAAAGAAATGTGTTGATGAACTTCGCTTTTGGTACCTTGAGGAGATGGAAATAAAAGGTGAACTCGAAAAGCTAAGCGTAAAGATGGAACAGGTTCAAAATGAACAACAACAAACGGATAAGGACATGAAACTTGAGTTCGGAAAAGTGCACCAAGAACTTCAAAGTCAAGAAGTAACGATGAAGCAGATGCAAAGTAAACAAGAACAAATGGAGCAAGATGTGTTGAGTATTAGGATCGCCCTCGAACATCTCGCGACAAGTGAGTCACGTATTAGTCCAGGTAAATTGCCCATTGCCCCACAAATGGAAGGTGCCCAATCACCGTCTGAAAGTGTGGAGATACGCATAACCACAGCTCCAGAGCAGCCACCAGAGGAAGGTACCACTCGCCTATCCACAGGCACGGAACTGCAAGTCAGTCAGCAGAATCGCTCTTTAGTTGTTGATTTTTGGTTTGCTGTTTATTCATTCGGCAAGAGCTCAGTGAATCTCCTAATCAGATACTTGAAAGAGAAGCTTGGAGTTGAAGTTCAGGAGTGTAGTCAAGGCAGCCTGATCATTAAAGTCTCGTGCCGTTCATTGGAAGTTCTTGAGGCATTATGGATAGAATATTGTACAGGCCATCTCAACAAAGTAGTTCAAGATACGCTTGTAACGCCAGAAGTTTTGGAAAAACTTGACCTCAGGGAGGCAAAACTGAGAACCGTTATTTCAGAGAAAGACTACTTATCACACCAAGAGTTTCTGAAGAACAGATCAGGTAATCATAAAAAATCTTTACATGGCTTTTACAAACCAACAGATAGTAATAATTTTCAAGGTCCAAAAATTTAATAAGCGCCCAGGGCGGTTAATCGAATAAATACGGTATTCCGGATATCACAAAAACCTCATCCAATAATTAACAATTAATGAATGAGGCTGAGTATCTTATGAAGAATTATGGAGATCGAGGAGGGTATTATCCGTCAAGATCGTAGGCGGAGGCGGATAACGCCCTCCGAGACCCCCATAATTCATAGCATACGAAAGTCGAATTCAATAATTGTTTTATTATTCATTCAAAAGAATTTCTACTTTAAAAACAAGCTAATTAAAACATGCTTACCTCCATCGATGTTAAGTTCATCTTCGATAGCTAGTGCACTTTTAGGGTTGTTCAGCTCTCCAAATAGCAGATGTCGCCCTTCGATTTGTCTTCTTGCTGTTCTCGCAATGTTTTTAGCTATTATTTCGCCTAGTTCTTACCCTTGAAGCGAATGAAATGTCCGCCATTTTTGTTTTCACAACCAAAACAATTCAACCTCGTCCCCAGGTCTTCTCGGCTAACGGTGCATTAACCTGCAAGGAATCGGCACTTTTGACGCCATCGGTTGATTAACCGCAAAATTCTTCCAAATTTGGTGATCAGTAGCTGGGTATGGCGAATTATGCGTGTGCTTTTAGCCAATCAGAATCGGGGAAATATTTTGAATGAATAATAGTTGTTTATCATGTGATGCTATTTTGAATATACTCCAGCTCACCCAACCTGCCTGCACTGATATTGCTCCTCCGAGTCGTCTTCGGCCGTCCTCTCGCTCTTTGCCTTCAACTTTAGTACTGTTGTTCAATCATTTTCACCCTTCTCATGAGTACTTGCCCTGGCCAATTCCACCTCCTGAGACATCCGCTAGCTCACTGACTCTCTCTCTAGTTTATCGCCCTTTTGCAGCTCAATAAACGACAGACATTTGTCTATGATCTTTTTTTATTTTACATTACTGCTGATTTTATGTTACTTATTTTGCTTTAGCCCTGTACTGAGCAGAAGAACGAGATAACGTGGGAGTTTCCATTATCATTAATTTGGCCTCAAGGGAAGCAGATGGGTCTGCTTTTCAATATTTCTATACAGAGCCTTCACAAGAAGCACATTTGGCAGATAGACTAGACTGATATACATTGTGGTTAAGCTAAAATTTTCTGTGCTCTTGATCTCTCTTCAGATAAAACAGCAACGAATTCTCCGCAACCAGCTATTTTCGAGCCTAAGTTTGCTGAAGTTGAGCCGAGATAGATGTTGTGATGAAATCATATCTTTATATAAAATTTCCACATGAAACTAGTGAATCGCTCACCAAAACCGCGTCTTTTTTGAAACCGTTGTCCAGAGAGGTTTAAGGTCCACACGAGTATCCTGTGTGACGTTAAGGGATCCGTACACTGTAGTGTACGGCCATACACTGTTCGTAAAGAGTAGGGGACACAGCAGTCAGCGGTGTGGCGGTCTATCTCAGTTTCATTTCCACATCAGGGACATTTATAAATCATTATTCCAAGACCCGTAAAGAGTAAAATTTAAAAACGGGTTTGCTTAACTCAAACTTTGCGTCACTAGTTGTCGCAGTTTTCTAACGCAAAGAGAAAAATGAAAAAATGACCCCCGATATGACATATACAATGTTATCGCATGTGCAGTGAAATCTGCCAAGGCAATCCAATGATGCTATAATTTCAAGGGAAGCAAGGCCGTCGCCCTCGCGAAGCCCAGGTTGATATTAAGCTTCGTTGTGCGCATGCCCTTCTCCTTTGCCCGTCACCGCCGTTGTCTTATCTACAAATAAATGGAAGAGAACAACAAACAAAGAACGCAATGATTTAAGTGTTTGCTGCATGATCACTCTCAGCTACTGCATCAAGTTAGATAGCTGTATATCTGGGTTGGGTTCGCAATGAAGTCTCTTCCTCGAGTTTCTCCTCCCAAGAGATCGTAGCTCGTCCTTTGTTAAAGACCAAAATAAACAATGCACAATGCCTTCAAGGTAAAGAATGACACATCTCCAAGCAAAAAAGGACGCTGGAATTCATTCAATCGCTTGTGTTTTCAGCTAGGGATAACAATATTTACCAGGTTAGATTCCTGGTTCTGTTTTAGGATCCGCAACAACGCTGGTATTTAGCAACGTAATAGTAGCCAGTCATAGTTGGTGTTTTACTTCATCGGATTGCTTCGTTCCCAGGATCTCTCTTCTTACCATGTCTCTTCCTTACAGGGAAGTGAAAGAAGAGAGACCCTGGGAACAATTGGTATTGTTCTGTTGTGAGATTTACCTTTATGACAAGGTCGACTCTTCTTTTATTACACAGGTAGAAGTACTATCGCATCATTAACTGGAATCCTGCTTGACGTTTCCGGTTCCATGCGTCGTAGTATTGGAACGGGTACTGATGAAGAAGGAGGACCGTGGGCTCGTTCGATCTTTGAGGTTATAAATAACTTTGTAAAACACGACTTTCCTTCAGATAACCATGTATTTGCCATTGGCTTCGGGGCTAATTGTGGTGTCGAAATGTTTGACATCATAGGAACTCTTAAAAAAATTGAAAAACAAAGAGAAAGGATTGATCAAGCAGAAATCACTGAAATTATTGATCAAAAGCCTGTCACACCAACGCACATAGACTTGATTTTTCATAAATTAGAGGGAGTCGGTGCACACACTATCCGCAAATGGGTAACTGAAGAAAAATTCAGCAGAGTAGTAACGGATGATATGGCCGTCATGCTACTCAATAAATTTGAATCCGACAAATCGTTTCTAAAAAAATTCGTTCAAGAGTTTCTACCACCAGCTTCTCGAGATTGGTCTGAAAGCGTTCCAAAGGGTCTGTCAGGCCACTTGTATAGCGCGCAAAGTGCGGCTGCGACAGTGACTAGCTTTAAGCGTGCTACAGTAGAAGATATCAGAGAAGTGGTAAGTCGGGTCGCACCCTATTTGGTAGATGAAAAGAGGGAAAAGGCGGAGCCAAAATTGCTGGAAGAAAAGAAAGAAACAGTAGGTGTTACCCGAGATTCCATTTTCAATGTTCAAGAAGCCTCAGATGTTCTCCATGGGTGCTTTGATGGAAAAGAACTCTCCAAAGAGAGGAGTCGGGAATTACTGAGGAACGTAGAGCCCTATATTTACGGGGAAAAGCCTTTATGTCAGTCGATTGAGAAGGCGACAGAACTGTTTCAAACAAAAGCATCTATGTTTTCCTGTCACAAAAAGCTACTGTTCATCTTGTCAGACGGAGAGCCTACAGATGGAGAAACTACGGACCGGGCAAGAATAGATCGCATGGTCTCAAACTTGACCACAGCAGGCGTGACCGTAGTGAGCTGCTCTATCACTGACTCTGCAAGTATTAACCCCAAACGACTATTCAGCAAGATGGAACCTGACTGGGACCGGGGTGCAAAGTTCCTTTTCTCATTGAGCTCGAAATTTTCATCGCAATCGCTACCACGCACAATGTTTGTTAAACCTGATTGGGCCATCGATATCACCAGCAATGAAACACACTTGTTCTTGCAGGTCAATCATCCAAGAAACTTGCAAAGCGCTTGTAAGTTGGCTGAAGATGTCGTTTTTTGTAAAGATACGTTATCGGATGTGCTTTCATCTGTAGATGTAGATATATTCCATATCCAGAAAGACGTGGTGGCCCATAAAGCAAAAGAAGAGCAATCAAGGAACACCCGCCATGTGAATGCATGTGCTACAGTACTTTATTTGTCCATGAAACGAATTCTTAGTCGCAAAGGAGGATATCCAAGTTTTGAGGAATTAAGAAAAAAATGTATCCACCTTCGTGGAATTGACTTTGACGACCCCCTCCAAATTCTACAGGAAATTTGCCCGGCTTACCGTTTGCGTTGCAGAGAAGTTGACCTCAAGGATGCCTTAGAAGCAGTTTCTTCAAGCGAGCCACGGCCAGTGGTGGCAAGTTGTTGGCTAACTCAGCAACAATGGGAAAGCTTCAGAAAATTCTTTAGTGATGATAGTAACCGGAAACGTATTTTGAAGAAGAAGGATATTGCTCTAACAGCCCCTCATCCCAAAACCTCTACCATTGGTCGTTCAGTAGTGTTAACCAGTTTCGACAGCGAAAGTCTTCGACTGTTAAATTCTTGGGGAGAAGACTGGGGGGACATGGGATTTTTTCGAGTACAGAACGCAGATGTTCTTGGGTTAAAATTCATCGACGTATACTGGGAAAAAAAAGATTTGGCAGAGGAAGAGAAAACCTATTACGAGAAAAATAGATCCGTCGTTCCCAGAGAGTTAATGAAGTTGCTGGCAAGTCTTAAGCAAGCTGAATACACCTGCCCTATGGCCGAATGCAGCAAGATATCTCGGGTGATGGAGTTTACTGGATCCCTGTCACGCGCAAAGTGTCCCAAATGTGGCAAAGAGTTTTCTACAAAGAATGCCCAGGAAGAGAACATTTTGGCTCTTAGTATTTATCTTACTTCTTTAATAAGATGA